CAAAGAAACTTTGTTAACCCACATTGAAAAGCAAACAAACATTTTTGAAAACACAATGAGCAAGTATCTAAGAGCCCATGGATAACCATGGATAGAAAGGGTGCTAACACCTTCCCTTTCTATAACCTACCTCCCGAACCGAGAGCGATCTCTTTAAGGAATTTTTCTGTGCTTTTGTCCTTTCCATTTGGAGAAAATAAAAGACGGTGGCGACTCTTGCTTCCGCGACATTTCGCGAACCAGCTTTAAAACAGTCAGTTCCAGATCCACCGATCACACCTAGTTTTTGGTGGAACTTACGTGTGTATTTGTTAGGGTTTTTAGAATCCTTATTGTTGGGTTGTAAGTTTCTGTCAGACATTCACAAGCCTTTATGGATTGAATGTTTGTGTGCCAGACACTCTAAAGCTTTTAAGCACAGAATGTTTGTGTGTCAGTTCTCATAAGCTTTTAAGCATTAAGGATTGTGTGTCTTGGAAGAGTGATTTCCTGTTGTTTTTCTCTACTGTGTATAGAGTTACTCTAATCGTTGAGTGTGATTGAAGAGTTAGTTGAGGAGGGGCTCATACCTAGGTGTGTCTTAGGTAGAAGTTAAGCAAAGGGTATTGATTAAGTGCGTAGATTGTAAACTGGGATGTTTGCTGTATGGTCTACAAATTGATACTATCTAGTTGATTTTGTCCCTAACTTGGTAGCCCTCAGTGTAGGATTATTGATCTGAACTGGGTAAACATATACGTGTGTTATTTACCTTCAGTGTTGTTTGTTTTGTTTGTTTATCTTGTTATTGCTTGTTGAAGTCGGATTCAGTGTCTCGACATCTCTTAGGATATAAGGGATCAAACAGCCAGAATTTCACTATGGATGCTAGTAGTAGTGAGGGAACAATTACAAAGATATCAGATTATCATTTGACTCATGATAAGGTAAGTAGGGTTATTGTATCATCCTAAAGGGACGATTATGCTTGCCTTGGATGTTATGCTTTGAATGTGGCTGAAAGGGCACAAAATTTAGAAAGAAGTACCTTCAGGGTGGCATTTGAAAATGGGTGGAGCCAAGGTTGGTTAAAAAATCATACTTGTGAGCTTGTTAAGTTACCTAGGCATAAAAGATTAATTGGAAACAAGTGGATTCAAGTGGCGATATCAAGATTCAAGGGTTGCTTGAATTTGATCATGGTTATTGATTAGAGTTTCAACTTAATTGGTAGAGAGAAACAGGGTTGTTCATGGTTAAATTGAAATTAACACGGCTTCAAGTCAAGGTGGAGATTGTTTTAGTGTGCCTTAAAGCCTTTGTTAATGAAGATAAAGAAAACATATTTTGGAGATTGCATATACTGCGAGAATTAAAAGTTTCAAAAAGTCAGATGAAAAGTCGAAAAAACATAAATCGGGAAAAATTGGTCGGTGAATAGTGACATCATACAGTCGTACAACCGGTGAATAGTGAACTCGATTTCAGTTTTTTAGACTTTTTTCGACATTTTATCATTTTACGTGTTTCGAGCTCTTTCGGTTTGGTTCATGGATCCATGTATGGTTGAATTGTGATTTTGGGCTTTGTTTGTTGGGTATTCGCTATTATAAATATGTATCTCTCATATGCTTGAAGGTGTGACAATATTAGAGTTTACAACAACAAGGGAGAACAAGGGTTTAAGTCCAGTGAAGGGAAACCTTAGAAAGGCAAAGGTTTAGTGACCTTTGGGGTTGTTTAAGGTTATTGTGAAACACTGATTACACATTGGGTTTGAGTTATTCATATATTGAGAGTTGCAGAGGTTGGAAAACACTTAGGTAGAAAATAAGGTTGTTCTTGGGCGCCTTCAGGGTTGTTCTTGGGAACGTGAAGGCGAAGTCTATTTTCTTGTAACTCATATGTAACCTCTTGTAACAACTTTTTGAGTATAGTGAATTAGAGAGCTGCTCTCTCTCCCAGAGTAGATCGTTTGATCGAATTGTGTAAACAAACCTTCATTTGTTTCTCTCCTTATTCTGATATGTGTATTGATTATTATTGATGTAGGTCATTTATTTTGGTTGCTACTGTTCTTTGCCTCACAAGTTGATATTGAACCTTGTCTTAATTCACAATAATTAAATCATCGACCATGGAGACAATAAACTCAAGCGCTTCATTCCTTCACGTCCCGCACTTGGGAGATTATGTACATGCCAAACTTATCATCTAAACCCGACCACAAAGTAACATCCCATCTCGACCAAGAGATCTCTACCACTAAGTAATATCATGTTCGGCCAAGAGAGCCCAGGATTATGAGGTTTACATCCTCAGTATCTATAAATCAGGATGACCGAGATGTAACATATACTTGTATGAAGACGAATGGACATCACTAGAAAGTCCTCACTTCCGCACCGGCGAGATACCTCGAGCGGGATGGACGTAGACTATATATCTTCTGGAATCTATCTTTGCTGATGAGACGAAGATTCTCAAGTCTATGTCCTATCGAAGGACCCAGACTTAAGAGTAACACGAGTTCGCCCTTGGGGGAACACAAGCTCGCCCAAGGAATGTGGCAAGACCGTAATGCTTTTTATCTCTCGGGATTTATATGACTGAATGGTACGCTAGCAGCTGAGAACAAACCATACTTAAGCGCTTCGTCCCTTAGGGTCTCACGCTTAGGGGACTATGTACATCTCAAATAAATTATTAGGACCGAACATATACTCTTTTTCAAAACAGCCCACCGCCTACCTGATAGACAAAGCAGTCAAGTCAAATACAACATATTAAACAATCATGAAGGGCCAATCACAACTGACAATAGAATATAGAACTTGAATACACTTAATCTCCTCAAAGAGACAAGGGAACCAACACCCTAATTACCAATAAGTTGGTCATTTAAGATACAGGGTTGGAAAAATCCTATATAAATGGATTACCATCGCAGAGAAAAGGAGCCATTTTCGAAGAGACACAAAAAATCCTCCATAGAAGGACCTTATTGACCCTTGTCGATGGGACTAAAAATACGACCTCTCCTAGCCAGCATCGGGGAGGTCATCAAATATTATTCTTTGCAAGAACAGAAAACCCTCATCTTCTCCCTCTTTCTGCTAGTCGAATTTTCCGAATATGTTTTGAACTATCTATGGAGAATTAATAGATTTCTTTTCATCCAAAAACTATTTGGGTGGTCAAATGACCATTATTTGATGGTGTATTCTTGAACAGTGCCTAATGTGCAATAAAATACCATACAATTTGATTGAGTGGCTTTATCCTAGAAACTTCATGGTTGATAGTCTACTTGCACAATTTTGAACAGTGGGCCGAAACGTCTAAAAGAGAACAACATAATACGCTACTCAACTAAGATGTCATTAAAATATTTTCAAACATTTTTTAAAATAAAAATATAACACAAAGTATTTTTATGATAAATACTTATATTAAGAGTGTTAAATAAGGTATTTTCATCTAAAAAGGGTAATTGTTTCTTTGCTAGGGATCTAAAGATTTTGAAAGGGGAGAGAATGCTCATAGGGATAAATTACATGAAATTCATTTTGGCAATTTCATTTTTTCACCTTTGTACCTTCTCGCAAACCCTTGGAGAAATTCTAAAATTGTTCCTAGAATTCTTAGAGGCATCTCTGGGCGCACTTATTTTTCACAAAATTGAACGCAAACGAGTGAGTCACCCTATTAAACTTAATTTCAGATATGCATATCTGAAAATACTTTATTTTTTTTTAACGAAAAATAGTGTTTTCGGATATGCATATCCGAAAGTGTCATGTTGTATTTTTTTCCTTTAATTCAATATTGGGTGTATCGAATAGACATGCCTAATACTCATGCATCAACAATGCAAGAAATGTGTAAATACCAACAATTTCCTTATTGAGAAAAACAATTGGAAAATCGAAAAGTGATTAAAATAAAATAATAAAAATATGAAAATAAAACTAAAAATCAAATAAAATCAAATTAAGTGTCTATAATATTTTTCAGATTTTTTCGATAATATGAAAATAGAAAATAAATTAAATAAATGAAATGACACATTACAATTTTGATTCATAATCGATTTTCTAGAAAATCGATTTTTTACGATATATTGCATAAAGGCCAAAAACGCAGGAACGTAAGAGACATAATGCGAGGATACAATTCTCATAACTCTAATATTTATCAAAATTGACAGAGAGTCCTCAGAAACGACACAAGTTTCAATGAAAAAAATAGTAAATGGGGGTAAGGTGTATTTTTGAATATGCATCTCCGAATTCATCTTAGAAATTTTTAAAGATGGGTCTCTAAACTAATTTTTGACAAAAATAGACTGAAAATACGTTCGGAAATACATCTCCAAAAATTTATAAAGAAACTTTCGGGTAGTGTTTGGGCTTCAGCAATTCATTTCAGACTAATATGAGCCTAAAATTGAGTTTATAAGAAGAAAAGTTACCCACGACTTTGTTTTGACATATGCACCCACCTCCTCCTATAAATATTTTTTTAATATCCAAACTATCCCTACTTAACACTTACCTCTTTCTTCACTTTTTTGGTTCAAGCACCCCATCACCTTTAATCTCCTTTCAAAGACTATCTCAGATGACAACTATTATTCTCTGTCCATTCCATACTCTCCAACTTCTTTGACATGTCAAAACAAAGGTGTGGGCAACATTTCCTTATAAACCGTCATAGAATCCAAATAAGTTTGAATGGATCTGCACTTTATTTCTATTCCACAAATTTTCTTTTTTCATACAAGGAGTAGTTGATTTTTATGGCTCACTCATAATATGGAACATTACATCACATACATGTTATTTTTATATTTTAATCACAAAGGTAGAAGTGGATCTCTGTTGAAGTTCATCCAAACCCAACCCAAAAATTACTAAATGCTAATTGCTAAAGCCTAAAGAGATCATGTACAACATCAAGATCCAAGGACATTAATTAACAATTGTTTATCTACTAATTATGATCTTTGATTAATTACACTAATTCTTCTCACTGGAACCCGTACATCTGGAACTGGAACTAGTAGTATCCTTCATGTTAATCATAAGCCTTATTCTCTTGCATGATTCAACAAACATCCTAATAAAAAAACACAAAAAGAGATGAATTATTTATTGGTAAAAAAAATGAAAGAGATATATGAAATGAATAGATGAAAGTTAACATACTTCCAGGGTACATCTCCAAGCAACATCCAGTCACCATCTTTGTCCTCATAGGTAACCATGTATTTCTTCTTATTCATCAAATTAGTACTACCAAACATGACATCCACTACCCTCAGAAGATGGTCATAACCGTCATAGATTTCAAGATTGACTTTTCTTAGATATGGAGCTCCATCCACCGCAACTTTGACGTACTTGCAAGCTTTCATGGAAATGTTCTTTCTGTTTCCTCTCACCGGTGGCCATCCAACGACATGTTTGGTGCCAAGATGAAGATCAAGTGTAGTAGAGAGGGCACGTTTTGTGGTTGCAGCTGAAGGTAGAGTTGATTTGGTGGAATTGGGGAGAGCAAGAGTGAGCAGAGTCTCCTCCTGAATATTCATTGTTCAAACTTCAAAGTGGTATATCTTGGTCTGGTCGTGTCGTGAGACCAAAGTGATGTTTGTTTGCAAACGTGTGTGTCTTATATTATGGTGTTTGTGGGCGGCGAGTATGTTGGGCCATATGAAACTTGACACGTGTTATACTTAAAGAGCGGTTATGATTCTTCCATGTGTGTGTTTTTCCATTCTTATTTTATCATTGCCCTTCTTTGTTTTTCTTTTTCGCCTCATGTCTATTACTTTTTAAATAATTCAATTCACAGAATTTTAGGAGATTTGTCTCTTGAGGGCGGTTGTATCAAACAAGATTTTAAGACTTCTGGATTCTAATCATTAACTATAAAGTCTAACAAATAGTTTTGACTAAGTACACACTATTTTAAAATTTTATACTTCAGAGACTTTAATCATCAAATTATTTTGTAAATACATTCTCCACCATCATGCATATAATATTATGAGGCAGCACTCCACCAGAGTCCATCATCATCATAAGTTACACTTGAAAAATTAATTCTCCTAAATCAATAACAATTAAATTTATTATTAAAATTAGATGGAATAATTTTATTGGACTCCAAAGGGAAGTAACTCATGGTCTGATCAACTAAGAGGAGTCGTGAAAGGGATATTAGAGAAATCGGACGGGCGTGGTCTTGGGTTGTCCGATCCAAACTCTGTTATATTGCTAATCCATCTCTCCAATACATGACAGATGAAATGTCTTTGAAAGGGTCGTTTTTTGTCATACCTGCAAAGGACGAACAACTTCTCCATTCTAGGAAGAAGAACCGTTTCTCCCATATTCCTACGTATTTATTCAAAAGTTGAGAGAAGATTGTTTCCTTTTCATGATCTGGCCCATAATGTCGTATATAAATATCTCAACTTCTAGGACTGGAGAGATCCATTTAGTATTGACATAATCAAAGCATATGAACCTTTTTATGGTCACCTTCGTAAGAAGGGTCATTCTCATTGTATTTTTAAAAGTACAGTTGGCCCCTACTGAGCCTCAGTAAAACTAACGTAGGCCATACTTACATCTAATTTCTACTCGCCTCAGCCATTCTTTTCAACATGGTGACGTGACGAGGCGCTACAACAACTAGCAACACTGGAAGCAGTGACAATGTTGTCTTAGCAACACTACAATGATCTAAAATATATACTAAAGTCAGTCAGGAGGTAAAATGTGTGTATGAACTCCGCCAAGTGTTCTTTTGGGGTTCATGAGGGCAAGATCGTAGGTTTCATGTTGAAATATGGATAGAGTCAAACATCAATAAATTACAAGCCATCATTAATATGAGAAGCCCTACCACGATTAAGGAGGTTCGTCAACTCACATGATGTTTGGCCGCCCTCTCCATATTTCTTTCATGTGCATGGGAAAAGGTTTTTCGTTACTTTTCCACCTTAAAGAAAAAGGAGAAGTTTGAATGGACAAGGGAATATGAGGGGGGTTCGTAAGGTTAAAGAATTTGTTGGAAACCCACGTGTATTAACACGCCCAAAAGAGGGTTGTGTCGGGGTAGTATTGAAAGGCCCGTGCAACATTCTCATAAAGAAATCGTTAAGGTTTGATTTTGAACAAGTAACATCCAAGCTAAATATGAAGCACTTATCGATATAATAAACCTTTCTAGAGAGGTTGGCGCTCCAAATGTAGGGCACGAAGCAATTCCTAATTGATCTTCAATAAAGTCGTTGGTGAGTATCAAACAAAAGTAGCCTAAATCGTCAAATATCTCTAGAAAATATAGGACCTAGCCAAAAAAATTCAAATTCTTTGAAATATTTTATGTGTCTAGATAATAGAATTCTCAAGAGGATATCTCATCAAGTCTCTCCAACACCAAGAAGCTCTTCCATAACAAGATAATAATACAAGAGACCCTAGTCATTCCCAACACAGACAAAGAGGAAGTTAACGTCGTAGATAGTATAAGTGCCCCAAACTGGATGGTGCATATAATATGTTATCTAACAATAGGCGAGCTCCCATCATATGAGGTATAGGAAAAAAAGATCAGAAATATATCAACAGAATATATCAAGGTAGATATTATGCGATGATGAGATTATCCTAGCCCTCACAGAGGTCCATGAAGAGGTCTGCATAAGTCATATTTGCGGGCAAGCCCTCACCTACAAACTACCTAAAGCCAACTACTATTGGTCAATTTTAATGAAGGATTGCACAAATTTTGTTATAAAATGCAACAAATGTCAAAGGCACTACAATATTCACCACAAGGAAGCCAAAATTCTCAATTCCATCACCTCTGTAATACATGGGAGAAAAGGTTGTTTTTAGTCATACCTGCAAAGGAAAAAATCTCTTATCCATTCTAGGAGGAAGAATCGTTCAGCCCCTACTCTCACGTACTCGTTGAGAAGTTGAGGGAATAATGCTTCCTTCCCTCGATCTGACTCATAGTGTTGTTCATAAATATTTCAACGTCTAAGATTAGAGAGATCCATGCAGTACATAATCAAAACATATGAATCCTCTTATGCTCACCTTCGTAAATAAAGTCATTTTCATTGTATTTTTACAAGTAAAAAAATCAAAATAAAATTGGAAATTATTTATAAAATATAAGAAACAAATATTATTTATATCACTTCATTATTGTAAAGTAATGAGAGTATATGTTTCCACTAATTTGATTGAATTATTAATTTATGCATATATTAGTTAGCTATGTTTTGAAATTTATTTTTTAATGGAAAAATAATATATAAAGGAAGTCAAGAAACATACAGTAGTACGCAAAGCACAAGAAGTGCTAAGAAATACAAGACAAAAAGCGAGCAAGCACCAAAACAAGAAGAACAAACAAAAGTGTAACGCCCGTGATTTAATTAAATTATTTTTAGATTATTTGGGAAGATGTGTTATAATTAAATTGGATTTATTATATTAAGTGGAGAAATAATAATATTAGAGATATATTATTATGTGGTGAAATAATATTAGAAGTGTAATATTATTTAACATGAGCTTACTTTGGGAGAATAAGAGTAATAAGGGGGGGTGTTAGTTTTAAGCCCAACAGGGAGATAATAGAATATTAGGTTATTTTATTATTTGTTGTTAGAATAGAAGAAAGAAGCAGTAGAGGAAATAAGGATTTGAGAAGAACGTGAAGCTGCTGGAAAAAATGGAAAATGGCAAGAACGAAGATCCAACCCGGAAATTGTAGAGCGACCTTCAATCCAAGGTAAGGGTGGGGTTCTAACCTTATAATTGGGTTCATGATGTTTGATATGTGGGGTTAGAGGATTGCTGTTTTGTTCTTGAATTGGATGTTTATGATGATGTATGATGAAGATTTGATGAATTTTAGATGAATAACGATGCCATGATGTTGTTTAATCGATGTAGTATTATAGGATAATGTTAGGTGATATTTTATCATGATTATAATAAGGTTTGTGAGGTTAAGAATATGATTCTCGTAGTGTAAATACAGAGGAAAATGCAGAATTTGTGAAGAATGTAACAGGATGCATCGACCTCAAAGGCTATGTGTCGATACATGAGGGTTGTAAGACTCAGGATGAGTCGACTCGAAGAGAGGATGCATCGATACATGATAGTTGCAAGACTCAGGACGAGTCGATCGGTGAGAAGCATGTGTCGATACATGCTGTGTTTGAGACCAGGATGAGTCGATCCATAAGGAGGATGTGTTGACTCATGATGTACAGATCAAGCAGTATGCGTCGATCCATAGGGTTTTGCGTCGACCCATGTTGTAAAGGAGAAGCAGGATGAGTCGATCCATAAGGTTTTGTGTCGATACATAATGTCTGGTTTTTGACAGAATTGGCTTTTAATTGCTTTAACTTGAGTTTTAGGATGTTGATTGATATGACATTCGAAGTGTTGATTAGCTAACGCGATGAGCTTTATTCTAGGTGATTAAAATGATGGATAAGAAGTGTAATCCTAGCAGATAATACAGGATTTAAAATTAATTCCCGTAGATGACTGTTGTGCTGATTTTTGGACAGAACGATGAATAGTAGATGTTTAGAGGCTGGTGTTAAAATTATGACAGTAGGATTAGTGACAGTAACGATATAAATTAGCAGAATAACAAGATGGATTACTGTACTATTAATAAACAATTGAATATTAGTGAGATGTTATTGATGAAGTTGTGTTCGATGATTTTGTGATAATAAATGATGTTTAATAAATTATTTTGATGTTATGAGATGTTGTTGTTTTGAGATGATTGTGATGTTGTTGTTTTGAGATGATTGAGATGTTGTTGTTTTGAGATGATTGAGATGTTGTTGTTTTGAGATGATTGAGATGTTGTTATTTCGAGATGTTAATTGAGATATTTTGAGATGATTTGAAATGTTGTTAACTTGGGTGTTGTTATTACATTCATGATGAGTCGCATACATTGCATTTTTGAGATGGAGCTTATGTAATTGAGATGGCCTAGATTGGCAAATTTTGAGATGAAGGCTATGCCTTGTTGATGCCTCTATTAATTGGTAGATTTTTTAGATGAGAGTTCTTCTCCAATGGTACCACGTGCATTTGCATAGTTTTGAGTCGTATTATATGATTGAATAATGAAATGTATTCGATGTTGATGAATGAGTATATATGCTGTAATTATTGTTGATTATGAGAAGAGAAGTGGTGATATTATTGATCTAATTTAATATATTAATTATCATGCGCTTTATTATATTGTTAGATATCTCACCCCTTCTGTTTGAATGTTGCCCCTATGTTGGTAACGTGCAGGTAATCACGAGTGAAGGTTGTATACCTTCAATAGTTTGAGTCGGTGTCATTGCTCTGATATGTAACACTCGGGGGGATGAACGCTTGCTGATTTTTTATTGTTGATTTTCAGTTGTTGAATTTTGAATTGATTATTATTAAATATGAGATGTTTCGAAGTTGCTGTTTTATTTAGAGATGTTATTTAAGAATTCTGTTGCGTGGTTGTTGAATTATT